TATTCACTGTTTAGGAAATATATGCACAGGGATATTTTAGTTATGGAAAAACTACAATTTAGAACTATATCATTTTTTTCGTATCTCCAGTATTTTCGGAGATATTTTGAAGAAAAGGGTGAAAAATACAAAATTGCAAAAAAATCAATTTATCTTTAAACTCTAATTTTTCTAAAATTAGGCTTTTTAAATACGTCAAACTTCTTGAATGTATTGATAATACATAATATAAAAAGAATTACATAAGGGCGAAGATTAATTTTAATTAGTCCGGCCTTATTTTTATCGTAAGTCGCTCAATTTTTATGCTAGAAACTTTTTTTTCTAATTGTTTTAGCTCTAATTGTATACTTGAAAAATATTCTGCAAGTTTTTCTCGAAAAATGCAAAGTTTTCCCGTTTTTTGGCTTTGAATATTTCAAATTCTGCATTTGACGAAAAAAGCTAACCTTTAACTCGGTTTGTATTCATCAGTTGGAGCTACAGCCCTTCGTGAGCCTTGGCCTGCTTCAAAACATTCTTCCATCCTTCCCTATCGAGTGTCTGTCTTCTCCAGCCCCTCACTCCAATCTCCCTCAGATCTTCCTGTACATCGTCCAGATATCTGAGTTTAGGTCGCCCCCTTCTTCTTCTTCCGACCGGCCTGTTTAGCATAGTTATTTTAGTGGGATCACTCTCATCCATCCGCATAACGTGGCCCACCCACCTTAGGCGGTTTATTTTGATGGTCTTCACAATATCTGCATCACCAAAAAGTCTATAGAGTTCAAAGTTATATCGCCTTCTCCACAGACCCTGTTCGTTTACTCCGCCATATATGGTCCTCAATACTTTTCTTTCAAAGACTCGTAGTAACTCTTCATCTCGGGTCGTCATTGCTCATGTTTCCGATCCGTATGCGAGCACTGGGAGTATTGTTTTAGAAAGTTTTATTCTTTTTTTTATCTCGTTGGATGTGTTATTTTTGTAGTCTACCAGTGATCCTAAGTAGCAGAATTCTTCTACCATTTCTATCGTTTCGTGTTGCACCTCTAAGTTATTTTGTTGAATTCTTGATATGGCCGGCATATATTTAGTTTTCTGGATGTTAATCAAAAGTCCGATGTTTTCTGCGGCATTTTTGATACGTGTGAAAGCCTCCACTGCTTAATTTTGGGTTCTTCCAATTATGACGATATCATCAGCGTATGCCATTATTTGTATACTACGGGTATATATCTTGTATAGAAGATTTGGAGAACCTGACGTTGTAAAATTCATTAAGGTAGCCCGCCTCAGATGGATAGGTCATGTAATCAGACGAGAGGAAGATGCCGTAGTCAGAAAAATTTTTGACCGAAGAGGGCCGATCGGACAACGAAGAAGAGGAAGACCGAGACTTAGGTTCCAAGACAACCTAGAAAATGATTTGAAGTCTATCGGAATTAGAGCATGGAGAAAAGTTGCCAGAGACAAGTTCGAATGGAGGATTGTTCTGAAGAAGGCTTTGGCTCATAAAGATCTGTAACGCCACTGATGATGATGATGATGACGGGTATATATCGTACCTTTTAAGTTTATTCCCGAATCTCTCATAACTTTTTCTAACGCTAGGTTGAACAGCGTGCACGATAGCGCATCTCCCTGGCGCAGTCCTCTGTTGGTTTTAAATGGATTTGAAACATCCCCTTGTACGCGCACTTTACATTTGACTTTCATCATTATCATTTTAATTAATTCTACCAAACCTTTTGGTATTCCTAATTCGATCATCGCCGAATATTGGGACCTGTCAATAGTATCGTATTGTATTGGTCGTAGAAAAATTATAAAAAAAGGATTTTGTTCGTGTTTCTCAAAGATACAATTTTAATATCTACAGTTTTTTTTTGTTTAAATGCATACTTTTCGAGTGATTCTCAAAAAACCTTCACAAGCAGTCGATTTTTTCGTCGAAAAACTGTTACTTTCAACCGCGAGTAACTCGAAAAATATTAGTTTTACGAACAAAACGTAAAGAACATTTTTTCTTGGAATTACTTTTTCCATCGATTTCCATATTTAAAATGTAATGAAAGATTCCCACCCCCGAGACAGGGTGGCAGCCACCCCAAGGTTTTAGCGTTCAGCGGTATTATATACAAGATGATCCTTGGGCTATTCTCTAACTTCTGTCAAATTTCATGTAAATCAATGCTGGACGAAAAAATTGCGAGCCAAAATGCTTCATTTTCTGGCCTATTTTGAAGGTTCTAAAAGGTATATTGTTACGTAAAAATTAGTCATATTAAAATAAACCTGTAAACATGTTGTTTATTTACTAAATATGTTGTAGAATGGACGAGAACCTTCGATCAGCTGGCAGACATATACCTGAAACGGCCGTTCGAAGTTTCCAGAAACCGGTCGAGTGATGATCCGGCCTAGTATTATCAGAGGGATTCTCCTGAACTCTCGAATAGCTGTATTTTCATATATAATAACGGAGCTTTTATTGAAGGAGTAAGTCAAAAGAAGATCGCGGATATCGGGTTAAAATTGTATCGCACGCAAATAAATTATTTGTAATCATTAAGTGTAAAATAAATAAAGACTTTGATAAATTCGTAAATTAAGAACTATAAATTAATAAAAATATAACAATATGAAGGATAGATGATGACCAATCCTTGAAGACGTACAGCTCATTTTGCTTTGTTTCTTTTTAACAATCATAAAAAGTGAAACAATTAATGTTTTGCTATAAAACGTTTCTTATACATTTTAGAGAAAAATGATTTTAAAAAATTATTTAATTTGTGAGTTTCAAAATTAAAATACATAAATAATTGACTGAGATAATTGCAAGAAACCCTTGTTTTTGCAGTAATTTATAAATGTTAATAACTTTGTTTTGTAAATAATGACATGTAATATAACTACTTGAAATTATGGCAATTAATGAGTTATTGAAGTGTGCTATTCAATTTCAAAGTAATAGGAGAAAATCTCAGTGGTTGACTATATACCATAGTTTAAAAAAAAACTTATACAAAAGTAAGAACCTCTTGTGTATAATGGTATATTATTTATTAAAAATAGAGCATGATTGAGATGAGCTTACACGAAGGGTCCGGGACAGAAATCATGCACCAAGGAGCATGAATTGCATGGAATTGAGAGTTGAGCTTAATCATGAATGGGAAGCAATGCTTTCAAAAATTTATTAGGAGAGTCATCCGATCTACGCGAAAGCGATTGGAAAGTTTAATTAATAGTAGGGGTGATAATATCAAATACTTAAAAATAAAGAAATTCATTTTGTAATCAATAAGTTCTCTGTTAATAACGTCTTTCTTGTGTTAGTTCCAATGATGAATATTTAGGGAACTCCGTTTGTATTGCATATTGTTTTTATAATGCGTTTTTCAAATAACGCAATAGCAGTTTTTGTAAGTTCAATAATAAAGTTATTATTTGCACATATCATCTTTCTATTTTCATACTTTTTACATTGAAACAGAAGGTGTCATCTCAAATATCGCTTTTGAGTCGATTGTTTTGCACTCAAGTGTAATTTGGAGAATAAATTTGAAGAAAGCCAAGAGTTTCACAATAATTATTAAAGATCACGAACATAATTTTAAAACTGTAATAAACAAAATTACTTCCTCAAATCAATATACGAAAAGAAACAAGAAGAAAATAATGTCTCGAAATTTAAGATCTACAAAAGAAGCCCAAGTTATTCAATTTACACAAAAAACATAAAGTAGGCTCCTGGTATACAAAATAAAAGAGCATAGGACTTTGTCAATAAAGAAAGTAACCTTATTACAAATGATATCTATAAACTAAAAAGATGGAAAGAATACATTAAAGAACTATTGAACAATATAAGACAAATAAAAGAAATCAAAATTTATTCCAAGTCCCATTTAATTAAAGAATTAAAAAATGCAAGAATGATAGCCAAAAACAGAAAAGCTACAGGAAAAGATGAAATACCAACAGAAATATATATAAAATGCTTGGAAGTTAAGGAAAACATCACTTCTTAGCCTTTTAAATAAAGTTTACAAAACAGGGGGTATACCAACAGATTGACTTAACTCTCTATTTGTTATGCTTTAAAAAAATCAGTGTTATGAGTCACATTTTAAAAATCTTTCTTCTGATAATTCACGCCAGAATTTATGCTAGAATTGAAGGAGAAATTATTAGTCATATGTAATTTGACTTCAGTAATAATCTTGAAAGAAAAGAGAAACTATTTAGTACTGGTTCATCCTGTGTATATGTGCTTTATAGACTTTGAGAAAGCATTCGTCAAGGTTAAGCATGGAAAATTGATGAAAATTCTTGAAGGAGTAGGAATACATGACCAAGACTTAAAAATTATCCAAAGTCGATACTATGTTCAGCAAGCAAATGTCTGAATTGGCATATATACTTCTGAGTCAATTGATATTCTCTGTGGGATTAGATAGGTGCACCCTGTAACCAATATTATGTAATCTGTATTTCGAGCATATTCGCAAAAAGGGACTTGCAGGGTTGATGTTGGTATTATGGTCAATGTAACTAAGATCAATGATATGCAGATTATACTGTGTTGTTTGCAAGTTCTCTGGAAGAACTACAGTTATTAATTGACAGTGTTACTGGAGAATGCGAAGAATATGGCTTAAAACTAAATATATGGTAGTCAGCAAAACACTAATGGACATACTTACAGTATATCGTATTGAAGTAGAAAAAAACCAGAACATCACTTAGCTAGGTACAAATATAAATAACAATTGGGGTATACACAAAGGGATAAACATCTGCATTAAAAAGGCCAGAGCAATGAAGAGGCTATGCATTCATGTAAGGGAATAATAGAAAAACTGATGTTTAAAGGCAAAACATTACAACTATTATAGTTGTTAGATTATAGTTTATTATATTAAAAAAAAATTTAAATAAAAATTGTGATAAAATTTAAGTGTTGCCAATATTCACTATGATTTTCAATTTATTTACTAACATGTACTTACTACTTTTTGACTAGGAGTAACTATGGTATTCAAATGGTCTAAAAGCCACTGCAAACGTGAGGCTCTTGAAATTGGAACATCCTTTTGCATTAACAAATATACTGTTTTTGCCTCCAAAAATGATGGTTGCGTGTCTTCCAAAAAGGGATAGTCCGACAAGTATATTTCCCCATTTTCTGAAAAATTGAATTTAGTAGATAACATTACTTTATGATCAACAACTTCGTTTTATGTTGTTATTAAAAGACAACTAATACTGATAAAGTTCAAATATAATGTATAAATGACAGAAACTGTTATCACTCTTCAAGTGCATTGTAAATCATCTTTAAACTACCCATTGTCTAGACAAGCTGTAGTTAACATAAATATGTTTTATCAGTATCTCATGAATATTTTGAGTATTGAGCTACATGAACTAACCTGATATAGATAACTCTACACCTTCATCAGAACATTGACTTTGGGAATCAAATTCCATTATAACACTACGAATATGTTTCACATATCAAGTTGTTCCTAAATAATGTTAAATCACTATCACAGACACGATCAATATATTATAATCCTATTAATGTTTAAAAATTAACTTCCCACTATCACAAAACAAACGATTCAGATTTGACAGACTCTCAAATTTCAATTTAATATAAAAGCTCTATCAATTTCCATACAAATGTTTTAATATTAGTGGTTTATCCAAAGTAAACAACGTCAAACAAATATTTACGTTATGTTAGTTTAAATGGATTACATCACGAGCCATTAAAACAAAATATGATAACATAACCTATTTTGACTTGTTTACTACTGGTGGTTCATTTATTTTGACTGAAAATGGTCTTTGCCCCAAATATTATACAATTCATGATGCACTTCCTACACTTCAGAGTTCCAATTCCAACCCATATGTCAAGTTATAGCTATAACCTATTATAACAAATTATTTACACCAATTTTTAATTTTGTAATATTATTGGTAATTGATTTAAATATAACTTCTTGAATATAAATGATTAGAATTTTAAATATATGATACTTTTACAAAGCACATGATTTTGTTCACACAAATCACATTATTTAGGCTATGAAGAATCATGATACATATATGCAATTCTTATAGGAAACAAATTTAATATAACACTAGGTATAACAAATCCTTTTAACTTATATACTTCACTATAAAGAAATTCATATACAAATAAAATAATTTAGTTCTAAAAATAGATTAGATCAAGATCCTTGAGCAAGTTAATAAAAATGTAAATGAATGAAAATACATGGCTGTTTCATAAGTTTTAAGTGAGTTAAAAATTAAATAATTTTCATAATAAATGTTTAAAATAAGGTCAAATTTATAAAAATAATTTATATATATATATATATATATATATATATATATATATATATATATATATATATAGTAAAATTTGATGGAATGTCTCGCAAAACAGTATTGATGGAAGTAAATCGTATATACCGTATTTCTGACTATTGGTCGTCTTCAGTACGGTGCAGCCAAGTTAGAAAAGGAGCAATTTGACATAAATTTATTAAAGCTTGGTCGCCGGTCATCTTTGATCTCATGTTGAAGTGTTCGTGCTTCTTCTTTTCATTTGAACCAGCATAAGTTGTAAGACGATTTATGTGAAGTACTTTTGATTTATAGGGTACTTATTTAAGGTACGATATATACCCGTAGTATACAAATAATGGCATACGCTGATGATATCGTCATAATTGGAAAAACCCAAAATGAAGCAGTGGAGGCTTTCACACGTATCAAAAATGCCGCAGAAAACATCGGACTTCTGATTAACATCCAGAAAACTAAATATATGCCGGCCATATCAAGAATTCAACAAAATAACTTAGAGGTGCAACACGAAACGATAGAAATGGTAGAAGAATTCTGCTACTTAGGATCACTGGTAGACTACAAAAATAACACATCCAACGAGATAACAAAAAGAATATGCGTGGCTAACCGCTGTTATTTCGGCCTGGGCCCTCAACTAAGAGCGAGAAGTATGTCAATAGCAACAAAGTGCAAACTTTATAAAACAATAATACGCCCAGTGCTCACATACGGATCGGAAACATGGACAATGACGACCCGAGATGAAGAGTTACTACCAGTCTTTGAAAGAAAAGTATTGGGGACCATATTTGGCGGAGTAAACGAACAGGGTCTGTGGAGAAGGCGATATAACTTTGAACTCTATAGACTTTTTGGTGATGCAGATATTGTGAAGACCATCAAGATAAACCGCGTAAGGTGGGTGGGCCACGTTATGCGGATGGATGAGAGTGATCCCACTAAAATAACTATGCTAAATAGGCCGGTCGGAAGAAGAAGAAGGGGGCGACCTAAACTCAGATATCTGGACGATGTACAGGAAGATCTGAGGGAGATTGGAGTGAGGGGCTGGAGAAGACAGACACTCGATAGGGAAGGATGGAATGTTTTGAAGCAGGCCAAGGCTCACGAAGGGCTGTAGCGCCAACTGATGAACTTTTGATTTACCTTTCGGCAACTTCTTAATTCGGTATATTACGTGATTTATCCTCTTTTTAATTTCATACGGACCTTCCCATTGTATTTGTAGTTTAGGAGAAAAGCCTCGACGACGTTGTGGGTTAGGTAGGTTATAAATCCAAACAAGATCACCTATTTCATAGCTTTTATTCTTGCCTTGAGAATCATAGTGATTTTTCACTCTGTCACTGGCTAACTGAATGTGTTGTCGAGCAAGTTCATGAATGTTGTTTATTCTTAACTTTGAGCGGTCCACATAATCTTCGCTTGCAACATGTTCTTCGAAAGGTCTACAGCCAAACTCTAGGTCGCAGGGCAAACGAACTTCACGACCTAACATCAGGCAGGTTGGAGTCTGACCTGTAGTTTCATTCACGGACGAGCGGTATGCCGTTTGGAATAATTGAATGCGCTGCTGGATGTTCTGATAAAACTTTGGACAGGTGTTTACCCATCGTTCGGTTCATCCTCCCGACCATTCCATCTGATTGAGGATACATGGGTGTCGTTCTGGTCTTATTAATACCAATCAATTTACAAACGTTAAAAAGGGTTGACTCGAAGTTTCGTCCTTGGTCGGAGTAGATCTCCAAAGGAACACCAAATCAGCTAAAGAATTCTTTAACAAGTACGTGTGCAACGGTAGCAGCTTCTTGATTTGGTATGGCATAGGCCTCAGTATATTTCGTAAAATTATTCATGTCTATCAGGATATATTTATTTCCACGATTCATCTCTAGAAGTGGACCTGCAATTTCGATTGGTAATCCTTCCATAGGACTACCAACATTGTACTGTTTCATGGATGCCGTCTTTTTACCAACTGGACCATTACTGGTTGCACACATTTCCGGCACCATCTTCTTACATCATCTTTATAGTTCACCCAAATATAGAACCGTTCTCGAACCTTCGACCTGCAGAGTCTTCGTAATACCAAATAGTCCACCTGATGCACCGTCATGCAACTGACGCAATACTACTTGACACTTTACTTTTAGGTACAATCAACTGAAGCTTAAATTCTGTATCCTCATCGTTCTCAAAGGTTTTATACAGAAGATCATTTTTTAGCACTAGGCAATTCCATTGGCTCCAGTAAGCCTTGACTTCTGGACTACATGCACTAATGTCTTGCCAAGTAGGTCTCTCACTTTGATGAATCCAATCCAATACTCTTTTTATACATGGATCATCTGCTTGGGCATCTTGTGGCTGTTGAGGCTGCCATTGATTATTAATCACGGTGGTTCGTCTCACGGGGCAAAGTTGTTTTTCTAATTTAAGACAGTGATTACAATTTTCACTTCTTGAAGCTTCACTTCAAAAACTGCTTGAAATTCTATCAGTATAGACTTCACTTTTTAGTTCGTTCATCATCAAGATCTTGACATGTTTTAATCACCATCTCAACAAGCTCCTTTGGATACTTAGATTTCGATGATTTCTCATTAGTATTTATAGAACAAATCTATGCCACGGAAACACACTGTTCGATCAAAATTATTTTACTTAACTTAATAGCAGTCCCCTTTAAATTCATAACTCTTACAGGAACGACATCTCGAACTCTCACCAAAGCTTTTGCCGTTGGGAGCTCGGCATTGTCCACATCTTCGACCACCCTTAACTCACTATTACCGGGTATTGTTACGTCACAGGTAGTTAATAAGCTGATAACATCTTCTTTGTCTTAGTACATTAATACTCTGTGTTTCACTAGTATGACCAATGGATACTGACATATCCTCGCCGTATTTATTAATTAGCTTACCAGTTGCTGTTCTAAGCCGTACTGTTGCAGGCGATAATTTAAGATGGCCTCGTACTACTTTTGCAAGTTCAATAGTTCTTGTTGCACCTGTATCTACCAAAAACGATCTACATTTATTATTGATACGACCCTCGATATTCAAACTATGAATTCCACCGGAGGACGTAATGTTAACAGATACTATGGGGGCTGTGTTTTTTGAGGTCGGCAGTTGCCCCTTGGTGTCGACCCGTTCTAGTTTTCCGATTGTTGTATTATTTCCTTGCAATTTCGGCGAATGTAACCTACGTGTTGTCTGGTACCTCCGGATAAGCCAACCGCACTATACGAGCAACATCTGCTTCAAACTCTTGCAAATTTTCACTTGCTCGTTGAATTCTACTTCTTAGGTGTGCTTTGTAGACTTGTTGTAGATGGGCATCTCCGTAACGTTTGTCTAATCGAGTAAACAAGGTCTAGTAACATTTTTCTTGACCCTTAGGAATCAATATAACAATAGCTACCGGATCTAAGGCTACTGCATTAACTGGTGGTAGCACTTTCGTAGTAGTTATCATGTTTTCTGATTGTTTGATCTTCTCTTCTACGTCGTTTAAATTTTTCTGTAGCTTATCGAATGTTTTAGAAACTTCTTCAAATTTCTCATTGTTTTGATTACATACTTCTTTAATTATTTGAGAAGTTTCGTCGAATCTTCTAGCAACATTTTCGAATTTCTCGTCATTTTGTCTAGCTGCTTCTTTAATAATTTCAGACGTTTCATCGAATCTTTTGGACACATTCTTATCATTATTTCTAGAAGATTCTTCAATCATTAGGGACACATTTTTTATTTTGAAACAAAAAATTTTGAAAATACAGACACCCGCAAAGAGTAATAAAAAAGGAGATCAAATTAGCCAAAGAAAAATGGATGAGAGAAAGGTGCGACGAAATGGAGGATGTAATATCTAAACACGATTTATTTAATGTGCAAAAAAAACTAAAAGAAATGAGTAACATATTTACAAAACAAGATCCCCCTGTACTCGTTGACAATAATAACAAAATTATTGTAGATGAGTACGAAATAAGAAAAGAATGGCAGATGTATAAAGAGTTTTTTTTAAGATGACAGGAATAAAATTGCCGAATTCGACCAAAACTGTATTGACGGCCCTGAAATTATGAAATGCGAGGTAGAACACGCTATAAATAACGCTAAAATTAGAAAAACTTGTGATGATACACCAACTGAGTTGCTGAAACTAATAGAGAATGATAACATAAAAGTAGTAGTAAGAATTTTTAATTCAATATATAACACCGCAGTGATTCCTACAGATTGGCTCAAATCCATCTTTGTCGCAATACCTAAAAAACACAATGTGAGAAAATGCTCAGAATATCGATTAATTAGCCTAATGAGCCACACTCTTAAAATTTTCCTAATACTTCACAACAGAATTAGACTATATTCAGAAGATCTTGAAGATACCCAATTTGGTTTTAGAAATGCTATGAAATTCTATTAATTTTCTAGACTAACATTAACTAGAATAGATAACAAATTAAATTTTTCAGTCTTTAGAAAACCAACTCAGACTGACCATACCATCCCTAGATCTTCTAATCATCCTTTTCAACAGAAAATGGCCTCCTTTTATTGCTATATCCATCGTTTACTTAGCTTACCTCTGTCAGATTAAAATTTTAAATCAGAATTAGAAATTATTAAACAACTTGCTTATAGTAACGGTTATACCCCTACTTTGGTTGATACCATACTCAACAAATTATGGAATAAAAGGAATAGATCACTAGCATACAACACTGTCCATAACA